CATAAATTCTGTGCTCTGAGATTTGTGATTATTCACTAGAAAATCAAGATCAAGTTATGAAAAATTTGTTCTTCTGAATTTAAAGATCCCTTATATTGTTTTGCTGGAACATTAGAAAAGCTCACTCTAAATGAATATATTTTTCGCTCTTATTCTCTGTACTTTTAGAGAAGCTTCTCCTATTCGTTCCATTCTTCAGCAGCCCACTAAAACGCGAGCTCTTTGCCTATCTTAAATTGCGTAATTATAGAATTAAAGAACAAAATCTGCATTTTTAAATAGGTTATGACAATTAAAGTAATCTCGATTTTGAATTTTGTTGCCGGTTAGAAGCATCATCATTTTCCAAATTCAAATTGAAAATTCTTCCGAATTTGGAAGGCTTCGCTTTTTTCCTTACTATCCACTATTTAGCTTCTTTTTTATTATATTATTACAATTACATTATACATAGAGCAATTGCGTCATTACAGTATAGGCCTCTAAAATATATTTAGTATATTATATTTATCCATAAATGACCATTTCTAAATTACACTACTTCTAGTTTTCTATGAATTATCGGACATTGTATAGGATATCACCCACATTCATGTTTAAATTTTCATTTAGGTTGAATTCTTTTTGGAAAAAAAATGTTGTTATTGTTAAATTTACAATCCAAAAAAGGTGTAGAAAAGCGTGAATTTTCATGCTCACTTTGGACAATAAGCAGCGCAGAGGATGCGCATTCTTCAGGACCGAAAAGTGAACTTATCAAGTAAAAGTTGCAATACGATAAAAATAAGCAGTTTCGTATTTTATTATTTTATATGACGAACTAAAAGATCTGCAAAGCATCGTTCATATGCTTTTAGAATTAAAGACTTGATTTTTACTTTGAAAATCACAATTTTGATTTCCGGCACTAATTCGTAAAAATTTTCAGTATTAGAGGTAGAAAGACCCCACCGAAACGCAGTTGAACATACAAGCAGGATCTCTTGGATCTGTAGAAGATAAATTACGTTAAAATAGATATGTAAATCCTTAGAATTCTGCAACAAAATGAGGTTAACGCCTTTATCTTCTCAATCTTCACTCTCGACGCGGTCACAATTAAATCTGATCATAATCCTACCACACCTTAATTTCTACTGTAGATTATCTCCTTATTTACAGTCTCCTGCCAATTTCGATCAGCTTCGTCAACTCGTTCAGCATAATAATGAGGTGCTTCGCGAGGTTATCGCAGCATTTGAGGAAAAGTGAGCTCTTTCTGCATTTGGCCAATTATTAAGATCTAAATTCATTTCTTATCAATCTTTAACTTTTTTAAAGATATTTACACATCTGAAGCAGCTTTAGCTTTAAATTTTTTGTCTTACAAACAATAATTGGATCTTATTGGTTGTTCTTATTAATAATCCTTAATTTTTCACTAA